AATTGTTTCCTGGATGCCAAAATAATAATAATAAAGTTCATTTCAAAAACATGCTTCATCCCCAAAGGCTCGAAGCGCGGTACAAAGTCAACAAAAAACAAATCTATAATTTACCACATTTAAAACAAACGCAACACTACAAAAACTAATAACAAGCATACAATGTCAAAGTCTTTCTAGCTATTTCAACTCTGAGCAACACAGCCAATATGCATTAAATGGAAAATATGGTAGACAATCATCCCAGATGGTGTTTGCGAAATAGATGTGTCTTTAAATCGGTTTATCATCGGACAAATTTGTTCTCAAATGGTTCTCCACGTATTTCGTTCTTGAAAATGTTTGTTCACACAGGAATGTTGTTCCAAAGATTGAAAGGTACATTGATGCAAAAGTTTTGAAATTAGGAAAGTCTTTCTTGGGCGAAAACTGGTCAAAACCCACCAGTCCTTCTTTGGACTTGTCCCTAAGGAGGTCATTTGCTTGTAACTCAATGACCTCCAGGTGCAGTTCATCTGGGCGACTGGCCACATCTGCTTCAAATGGGTTTTATAAAAAGCTCACTTCTTCTGCCTTCAAATCCAAGTCAGAAAACCGCTGCTGACACTGCAGCTGGGGGACTTTGATGATCTCGCATGCAAATGACGTGGGGAACTCCGCTGTTGCTTCAGCCTTGAAGAACGTCCACTGCTGAAAGTGTGTCAAGTTGTTAGCCTGTACTTGTTCCAAAAAAAACAACAGGAATTTGGAACTGAAGACCGTAAGCTGGGTGTATAGATAAGAAACTAGATTTTCCTCTCCTTGTGGTTTTAGGTTCAGAAAATTTAAATGACTAGTTATGTCTGCAGCAAAGGCCATTTTCCATAACCACATTTCATCAGACAGTAATGGCTGTGTCTTCCCTTACTTTCCAGGAAGTCACCTATTTCCTTTCTTAGCTTAAATATTCTGCTCAGAACTTTCTCACATGCAGCTTAGCCATCTTATTGCTGTGTAATATGGTAAATTTTGCGATTCTGTGTCTGTATCTTTCAACAGGTCTCTGAACTGTCTATGGTTGAGCCCATGTGACCTTATTAAATTAACCCCCTTTACCACAGTATTCAGTGCACTGTAATTTGCACATATTTATCCACACAGCTTTCTGGTGAATAATACAGTGAGGGAACATTGATTGCAGATTTTTTTTTTCTCATTACACATTTCCTTCACTTGTCCAACCAAGCCTTTCTTTATGCCACTCATGTTATTTCCTCTGTCAACAGTCAGGCAACTGAGATTAGTCCAGTCCAAGTTATAATCAGCAAATTTTTTTTTCAACTCATCGGTAACAGTTCCGTACATGCTTTTTGGGAAGCGAGCTCTTGTGTTATGTTCATGTTTTCATCCACACCCCACTAACGAACACAAGCAGTTGGGAGGTGGAACAGCTGTCCAGCGATTCATCCATTGCAATAAAAAATTGGCGAAATTTGCTTGCATTTTTCACTATTTGAGTCACAATGTTTTCACCCATGTTTGCAACACGGCGGGGAAAGCTCCGCCACTAGATGGCGTTACATCATCTCATTTCATCTCATTGACTGTGAACGGAAGTAGAAAAACTAAGCAGCGTCCTAGGTTTTGCAAAGTAATGATCGGTTAGAAAACATAACGCACTACTGCGCACCTCTATTTTAATTCGGTAAAAACATAACGTCCACGTAAACGGCGTCTGAACTTGGCAGAATACAAGTACATTTCCGTAATTTTTTTCCGTACACAAAAAGGTCTCCGAGGGCCGCACAAGAGGACCTCGCGGGCCGCATGCGGCACGCGGGCCGTAGTTTGCAGACCCCTGATTTAGATATTTCTTATTTTTGAGTTTCAATAAGATATTTCTTATTTCTGAGTTTCAATCAGATATTTCGTATTTCTGAGTTTCAATAAGATATTTCTTATTTCTGAGTTTCAATCAGATATTTCGTATTTCTAAGTTTCAATAAGATATTTCTTATTTCTGAGTTTCAATCAGATATTTCTTATTTCTAAGTTTCAATAAGATATTTCGTATTTCTGAGTTTCAATCAGATATTTCGTATTTCTAAGTTTCAATAAGATATTTCTTATTTCTGAGTTTCAATCAGATATTTCGTATTTCTAAGTTTCAATAAGATATTTCTTATTTCTGAGTTTCAATAAGATATTTCGTATTTCTGAGTTTCAATCAGATATTTCGTATTTCTAAGTTTCAATAAGATATTTCGTATTTCTGAGTTTCAATCAGATATTTCGTATTTCTGAGTTTCAATAAGATATTTCTTATTTCTAAGTTTCAATAAGATATTTCTTATTTCTAAGTTTCAATAAGATATTTCTTATTTCTGAGTTTCAATCAGATATTTCGTATTTCTGAGTTTCAATAAGATATTTCGTATTTCTAAGTTTCAATAAGATATTTCTTATTTCTGAGTTTCAATCAGATATTTCGTATTTCTGAGTTTCAATAAGATATTTCTTATTTCTAAGTTTCAATAAGATATTTCTTATTTCTAAGTTTCAATAAGATATTTCGTATTTCTAAGTTTCAATAAGATATTTCTTATTTCTGAGTTTCAATCAGATATTTCGTATTTCTGAGTTTCAATAAGATATTTCTTATTTCTAAGTTTCAATAAGATATTTCTTATTTCTAAGTTTCAATAAGATATTTCTTATTTCTAAGTTTCAATAAGATATTTCTTATTTCTGAGTTTCAATCGGATATTTCGTATTTCTAAGTTTCAATAAGATATTTCGTATTTCTGAGTTTCAATAAGATATTTCGTATTTCTGAGTTTCAATAAGATATTTCTTATTTCTGAGTTTCAATCAGATATTTCGTATTTCTGAGTTTCAATAAGATATTTCGTATTTCTAAGTTTCAATAAGATATTTCTTATTTCTGAGATTCAATCAGATATTTCGTATTTCTGAGTTTCAATAAGATATTTCTTATTTCTAAGTTTCAATAAGATATTTCTTATTTCTAAGTTTCAATAAGATATTTCTTATTTCTAAGTTTCAATAAGATATTTCTTATTTCTGAGTTTCAATCAGATATTTCGTATTTCTAAGTTTCAATAAGATATTTCGTATTTCTGAGTTTCAATAAGATATTTCGTATTTCTGAGTTTCAATCAGATATTTCTTATTTCTGAGTTTCAATCAGATATTTCGTATTTCCGAGTTTCAATCAGATATTTCGTATTTCACAGCTTCATTTAGATGTTTCTTATTTCTGAACTTCATAAAGTTTTGCGTTGGAGATTCGAGACTCTCTGAGAATCGTCGATAGTAACATCAGATAAAGACTAGGAATTAGATTTGGCTGAATCCAGAAAGGCTAACAAGCAACAGCTCTTTCACGATATCTTCAGATTTTGATATATACTAGAGATTTTAGACATAAAAAGCAACTCTGAATACCTGTAACGAGTCTCACTGTGTAATTGATCTCAGCGTGTAACTGATCTCACTGTGTAATTGATCTCAGCGTGTAACTGATCTGACCGTGTAATTGATCTCAGCGTGTAAATGATGTGACCGTGTAATTGATCTCACCGTGTAACTGATCTCACCATGTAATTGATCTCAGCGTGTAATTGATCTCACCGTGTAATTGATCTCACCATGTAACTGATCTCTCCATGTAACTGATCTCACCGTGTAATTGATCTCACCATGTAATTGAACTCACCGTGTAATTGATCTCACCATATAATTGATCTCACCATGTAACTGATCTCATCGTGTAACTGATCTCACCATGTAATTGATCTCAGCGTGTAATTTATCTCACCGTGTAATTGATCTCACCATGTAACTGATCTCTCAGTGTAACTGATCTCACCGTGTAATTGATCTCACCATGTAATTGAACTCACCATATAACTGATCTCACCATGTAACTGATCTCACCATGTAACTGATCTCACCATGTAACTGATCTCACCATGTAACTGATCTCACCATGTAACTGATCTCACCATGTAATTATCTCACCGTGTAATTCACCTCTTATCTCATGTTGTTGCCTGTTCACCATTTTCCCACCGGACGGCGAGCTACAGAAACTTAGGTTTTAATTCGTTTCCACTTCTTTGCTTGTTTCCTATATTGTCTTGTCTGTCCGTGGAAGGCTTTTAGCCGAAACGTTCGCTTTTCACTATCTTTGTTATTTCATGTCCAGATTCAACATACCTTGTTCCACTATTGCCTTCTTCGCCCAGACTTTCGTCGAGGTCACTCCAACCTCAGTGATCACAGGCTTGACACGTGCGGCATAGGGTGGCAGTGTCACTACCATTGATTGACATGACGTTCTTAGCTTATGTGGGGGTACCACCACGCCACGCCCCGCGACCGCGTACTATCGTAACGACTTTTACTCCTAGAGAGCTCGTCACCTGACGTTAAGAGCCAGGTCAAGTTCAAGGTTGCACAGAAGTTGGGGGGGGGGGGGCGCGACTTTTTGCTCTGGTGGATGAAGCGGGTTTTTAAAAAAAATTTTTTTTTGTTTTCANTTACGAATCAGAGAGACTAAAAGAAAAGTGAAGAAAATTTAAATTATGATTTTATAAGATATAAAAAAATTTTTAAAAAAAGCATGTTATAGGTTTGCACGCATAGTGTCTTATACAGTTATATGCATCTGTGAGAAAGTTTCATTTATTCACAATGTAACTTCTTTGATATAAAGATTATCCTTCAATTTAAAGTTTCAATGACAAACTTTCTATAAAGTACCCTTGTACACTAACAGCCATAGTTAAACGGCCATTGTTAAACAGCAATGCTTATCTGTATTATTTGTTTGATTAATAAATTTGATTAAAGCAATTTCATCAATAAACTGTGAATTAAGAAGAAAAGGAGCATAATCATTGACTCAGCACTTTCTTTGCAATATTTAACACAACTAAACTTGTCAAAAGATAGATAAACCCAGCTAAAATTCTTTCTTCCCTGTCACAAAGTTGGAAGAAGCTAAACAAGAGCTGATACAACTGAGGGATTCCTGTGAAGAAAAGTCAACTTTGATAGGCAGTTTACAGAAACAGATCACAGATATGACATCAGAGTATCACTCTCTACAGAACAAATCTCGCATGGTAAGGCCATCATTAGGAAGTGCAGGATTTGGAATGATTTGGGAATTTTAATCTGTTCATCTGTGTTGTTCCTTTTGCCTGATGATTACTGGACCCAACAAGCAATCCATAAGTCAAACCAATTTGCACCAACATAATTTTTAAAAGTTTGAACAACATAACTAGTTTTCCGCGACCTGCTGAATTGTTTTGTTCGAGATGGTGGTGGCAAAATACTTGGCCCGCCCCAGGCAGCACCAACGCTAGCTACGTCACTGGTCTTACACTAAACTCCATGCCAAGAACTGACATTGAACTCCATTTCCGTCAAGGCCTGACATTGAACTCCATTGTTGCCGAGGCCTGACATTGAACTCCATTGTTGTCAAGGCCTGACATTGAACTCCATTGTTGCCAAGGTCTGACATTGAACTCCATTGTTGTCAAGACCTGACATTGAACTCCATTGTTGCCAAGGTCTGACATTGAACTCCATTGTTGTCAAGGCCTGACATTGAACTCCAATGTTGCCAAGGTCTGACATTGAACTCCATTTCCGTCAAGGCCTGACATTGAACTCCATTGTTGCAGAGGCCTGACATTGAACTCCATTGTTGCCGAGGTCTGACATTGAACTCCATTGTTGCCGAGGCCTGACATTGAACTCCATTGTTGCCGAGGTCTGACATTGAACTCCATTGTTGTCAAGACCTGACATTGAACTCCAATGTTGCCAAGGCCTGATATTAAACTTCATATTTTCAAGGCCTGACATTGAACTCCATTGCCGTCAAGGCCTGATATTAAACTTCATGTTTTCAAGACCTGACATTGAACTCCATTGCCGTCAAGGCCTGACATTGAACTCCATTGCTGTCAAGGCCTGACATTGAACTCCATTGTTGCCAAGGCCTGACATTGAACTCCATTGCCGTCAAGGCCTGATATTAAACTTCATGTTTTCAAGACCTGACATTGAACTCCATTGCCGTCAAGGCCTGACATTGAACTCCATTGCTGTCAAGGCCTGACATTGAACTCCATTGTTGCCAAGGCCTGACATTGAACTCCATTGCCGTCAAGGCCTGATATTAAACTTTATGTTTTCAAGACCGGACATTGAACTCCATTGCCGTCAAGGCCTGACATTGAACTCCATTGCCGTCAAGGCCTGATATTAAACTTCATGTTTTCAAGACCTGACATTGAACTCCATTGCCGTCAAGGCTTGACATTGAACTCCATTGCCGTCAAGGCCTGATATTAAACTTCATGTTTTCAAGACCTGACATTGAACTCCGTTGCTGTCAAGGCCTGACATTGAACTCCATTGTTGCCAAGGCCTGACATTGAACTTCATTGTTGCCAAGGCCTGGCATTAAACGGTATGCTGTGTCAACATTAGCGAACGGCTGATGCACTGTGGTAATTGCACAGCTGCACAATCCCAACGATTAGAGTTTGGTGCTTCACTCCCTTGTCTGCTGAAAATCATTATTCCTGTCACTGTCGCCGTGTATGGACGAAGCACAACTTTACGGGGGGGGGGGGGGGAGAGGGGGAGGTTATATAAAGGTC